TGAGCCAAAACCAAGAGTCCGACGCTTAACAGACTGAGCCACCCAGGTGCCCCTGGTCTTCTTATTTTTATCATTGTGGATTTTGTTGCTCAGACTGGATGGGTAACGTCTTACCCTAGGATGCTATAGCTAGTTCAGTGTTGGGCAGAGTGACCATGAGGCCTCCCTTTATTTCCAGGCCAGTGTTCTTTCTAGGCACCACATCCCAAGTAAATTCGTCATTTCCTGTTTCCTTTTGTCTTTTTAAAGTTCCCTTTTTTTTTTTTTCTTTTTTTCCCACTTGCCTCATTCATTCCCACTGTAACTCGAGATTGAAGAAGCGACAAAACGTCACATCCAATGCTCCGGTGCAAGTATTTTCAGAGGGGGTCACAGCGATGCATGTTTGTTTTGTGAAGTTTCACGCTCATTCTCAACATATGGGTTCAAAGCTGTGAACCAACCATGAACCTTGGGAGCTGGGAGTCGACAAGATGGGACTAATATGTAAAAGAAAAGGAGGTTCAGAAGGACTTGTTGGATGTCCGTTCTCTTTTCAAAAAGAACATTTTGGTGAGTTAAGCGTAAATGAGTTGGGAACAGATGGATTTTATTCGCTTGCCCGATGCATGGGTTTAAACGTGAATGGAAAAAAGCACTCCGAACAACACGATGTGAATTTTGTTGGTCTTTTTTTCTCTAGAGGATGGAAGCTGAAAAATGATGGGGACAAGTGAATTGAAAGCCATCATGAGTTTTAAACGCATGTATAGCACATGACACTGTCAGACGGAACACTAAGGACATCTGGGCTGAGAGCTCTCGTTTTGAAAGCCCTGGTATACTTTCAGTGGGTGGCTTCATTATAATACTGAAAGAAGTGTCCAGGCAGGTTTTTTTTTTTTTATCTGAACTTTCTGTCTGAGAATAGGGGACAGGGCTGTGAGAAATCCATTTCATTGTAAGGAATGTAATGCTTCAGTAAAGGTTGTAATTGGGCAATTAGAAGACAAGAGATAATAAACGACTTGGTTTAACATATTAAGGCTTTCCGAAAAATAAGACAATCTACTGGATGATCTTTTTATGTATCATTTTGTCTGCCTCAGACATTTTACTTTGGGTAGTGCAGGTCGGATCTTTGCGGGATCCTGATGATTTCCACCAAAAGAAGTAAACAAACATGTCAGTATTCTCGTCGTCTTCTCGTACCTCTGCCTCTTTGGCCAACTTCATGGGGGGATATTGGGTAATTATTCTATGATCATTATGTGAGTCTTTACGTGATCATTATGGGAAATTCTTCGCTTTTGTTGTAGGAGCACTCCATAATTAGCTACATAAAGTTCAAACCTTCTGTACAGGCAGTATCCACAAACTCCTCTTTTTTCAAAGCAATGCGCGTTTCTTGATGTGCCCACGAACTTCTAAGACGACATGTAAGTTTATGTAAGCGCTCCCTGGTTAGCTTGTGATGGGACTCTCTTTAGAACACGCTAGCAAGACTGAAATCAAACTGTTTCAGATGCTACAGTTAGATGAAATCACAAGGAAGCTATTCTTGGAATTTTATTAAAATGCTATGTTGGTTGGGACAAAAACACTCACGTCTATGTAGTAGAGCATCCTCAAAACAGTGTACCTTTACTGATGGATCCAGGCCACATCACACAGCCCGAGTGCACGTCAGCATCACATCTGTCATTAAATAAGTGACTCAAATTTTTTTTTTTCTTGCCGCTGTTTCATGTATTTCAAATAGAAAGACAACTGGGCTGCACTTCAAAATTTAAATACGGTGAATGAAAAGGCTTTGTTCACATTTAATTAAATTACTGTTTATATGCCATATGTTTGATCAGACATTGCTTGTATCCCAGATGGAGGCAATGGGGAGGAATAAGGTATAATTTTTTCCCCCCTCTTCTCCGAGTACAAGGCACAAATTGAGATGATTTTCTAAAAAGTGTCATCACAGTGACAAACTCATATGGCCACTGCTGTGACATCAGCCCTTCAACGATCCCTTCATGGCTCATCACCTCTCAGAACTGTAAAGATATCCTGTCTGAAGATAGGTAGGACCCTGGGCTCCGGAAGACAACACATCAGCTATTTTTGAGACTCTCTTAGTGAAACTTTCCTCAGGTATACTGCCGCTCTGATGTGGCAACACCGTATTCGTCAGGATTTTGGATCAGGTTTATTTTGTAAATCATAAATAAAAAATAAAGAGACGTTGATTTACAGACGGCAACTTAAGTCACGAAAATGTAAATCCAGTAACATCTCCTGCAGTGTGAGTTGGAAAGAGAGAGAGAGTCACTGTGTGGGAGTTCCCTGGGTTCAGAGGAGGCCCTCTTCTCTTTTTTCTCTTTTTTCTTTCTTTCTCTTTTTTTCACATTCCTCACTCACCAAATGGATGTGCTTTGCAGAGAGGAAGGGAAGAGTCCTTTTTACCATATGAAGCGAGCATGTGTTTTTCTTGCTTTTGCTGCTCTGCTGTTTTTGCCATATTTTCTGAGTTCAAGTCTCTAATCAGTTGGTGGGAGTGTAGATGTAATGACATTTATTTTGGAAAACATGTTCTGCTAACATTTTGTAGTAATGTAAGCCATTTAATTCTAAAATTGGCAGCTGAAACTAACACTGTGTCCACATAAACAACTACTCAAATGTTTCAGTCAAAGGCATTTTGGGCACCCAGGGCCAGGACATCCTTTCTGGGTCTGCATACTTCTAAAAGTCCAAGTGTGGCAGGCAGGGGCTTACCTCCAACCCACACAGACAGAACCTGAAGAATCTTTCCTATGCCTCCATGTACACAAAAAGAGGTCCTCACCTTTGGTTTTTAAAATGAATAAGTAGAAGCAGAGGAAATACATGAATGAAATTCTTGGCCTCAGCAGTGGTCTCGAGGGGTGGGCTGATTTGTTCTTCGGAGAGAGGGACAAGCCAAGCAGTCGGGGAGGGAAGTGGGGAGGCTTCCCTGTGACTGTGACACACATACTAAGCTCGGATTAGAACGCTTCTCATTTTCTATTCTCTCCAAAGGGCGGAGGAGGAGAACCCATCTGCCATCTTGGCTTGCCAGATGAGACAGTCTCAGGACAGGAGTGAGGGCACTCTGATACTACAGGACAGTAGTCATTTTATTTTTTTGAGCATCTACCGTAGGCTAGGTGGTGTAACAAACCTTTTAGGCCTTATTAAAATATCACAAAACTCCTGTAGTAGTACTATAGGTGAATAAGATTATAATATTTAGAACAGAATACAATAGGATAGCATAGAATAGAATAGAATAGAATAGAATAGAATAGAATAGAATAGAAT